CCCCTGATCAACACAACATATTGGGGAAAAAGATGATACCAACCTGCGGAATCATTTCTCATTTTTCTACTTGATTTATTGGCATGAGGACAACCATACACACTAGCAGAAACAAAAGCAACAAAACAATTATTAAATACTGAATAACTAATATTAATTAAGATAAAATGTAATGGTCTAGCTAAAAATAGTGTTAATAAAATGCAATGGGAACATTAATGATGAGAAATATTATGGTGGCAGTGATGATGATCAAGATGAAAAAAGCCAATAATAACATCACAAAAATAAGAAATAAAATTCGAATAGAAGGCGAAATCAAGATATTCTAGAATAAATGTATAAATAATATTAATAAAGCTGGAAATGTTTGGAAAATACAGGCTATTCTATAGATACTGCAACAATTAAATGAAACCATAAAACAAAATAAACCCAAAATATTTAAATCAATTAACACAAGGTTCCTGACACAGATAGTACAAACATTGGTCTCATCATATTCTCTAGTACAAAAATACATACAACATATTCAATGACAAACAAACTTCTTGCTGCGATAGCTCTCAGCAAATGACTAAAATTTCTCTAAAAGCATGAGACAACAAGTCGTCACCACAAGCTGTCTTTATGACAAAGAATGAAATTGACATTTAATTAATTGAGGGTTGAATTAATCAAGGTCTAAAGATGTCAAGGAAGTAGTGTGAAATACCTGCGATGAGWTGAAAATCTGCCATTGATATGACCTTTACCATCACAGCCTGGTGTGGGACACCTTGATTTAATAACAAACACTTGTCACTCTATGTAACACAGCTACGGAACATGACTGGATATACTAGACATTTTTAGTTTGTAATTGGTTTTATTGATTGATTTTTTAGTTGTTTATGATTATGACACTATTAAGAATTTTGTTTTATTAAAATTAACAGAAAACTTTTTTCAATAATGAGCAATAATGGCAAAAAGCGCCAAAAACTAGACTTTCATATGAGTTTTGATCCCAATTTTTATACAGTTAGAAACTGATGTACTATGATAAAATGCCTGTTTGAAGCGGTATTTTTAATTGTACAAAGATGTTTTGTTGTATTTGTGTTAGAATGTTGCTTTGTCAGGCTTTTTTATAGAAAATATCATGGGAAATAAGCAAATGAAGGCCTAAACCTCATTTTCGAGTAAAATTTTTGCTTTGGGTTAACACTTTGATTCCACTTTCATCGATCATCTCCACTTCCAAACAAGTTAAACTTTCTGAATAACAAGATTTTAGCCTTGTACAACAGCCTTTATTCGAGAAAATAGTTTTTCGYGCTCACTGGTTGAATTAGAAAAGAATTCTCTCTTAAAAGTTATACTTGGAAGACTTCTTTTCTTTTTTAGATTAACATGACAATCAATTATTGATGCATGATATAACAATGAAATGGAAAAAAAATGAGAAAAAGGAAATAGAATGGGATGAAATAAAATGAAAAATGAAATGGAACAAAATGAAATTAAAACATATTTACTACAATAGACCCTTTTCGAGTTCCAAATTACTGCTGTGTTTATTGATTACAGACTCATTTACTCAGGCTTTGATTTTGTGAAAAACATTCACGCGTTCCAGTCAAGGTCCGTCAAGTTTCAAAGTGTTTGTATTGTTGAAGTTGTGCATTCTTTACTTTACAGTTGGTATTTGTGAATATTTAGACACTGATTCGAGGCTAAGCCTGAGCAAATGAGTCTGTAATCAAGGAACACAGCRGTAATTTGAAACTTGAAAAGGGTCTATTTCAATATTCTGTGAACTGAGAGACATACTAATGGCTTGTCATGAACTGGGCTTTTTGCTGTTGTCGATAAAAAATAATCAGTTGCTACCTTTCATTTTTTTGATTGGCTGCAGCGAAAAACCAATTTCACAACAAGCCGTTGGAATATCTGAGTTCACAGATTATCAATAATCACAGTAAGAGACTGAAATGTCGCAAAATACAAAACATACAAAATTTTACTTTGAAAATAAAATAAAAAACTTATAAGCCTAAATGAAATGAAAATAGAATAAATTGAAAAATTTACTTCAAAAAAACCAATTTCAAAATGTTTTAAATCTCAAATCTTAAAA